AAAAAAAAAAGTCTGTTTTCATCCTTTTTCTAATTTCCTGATGGGCAGTACATCAGATATGAAGCCTAATGCCCCAAGACAGTTAGGGCATTAGAGAATGCCCTGTTTGTTGTGCTGTTTAATAATTAGACCTATTGATATATTAAGTGTTTCAAGTCATTTGCCTTATGTCTGTTGGGAGAAAGTTGCCTTGACTCACTCATTCACTTCTGTTCCAGTGCCTAGTCTTAGAAATCCCATAATTTAACCATTTTCAAGGAGGGGACAGATTCCCTCCTAAGCACTGTTGTGACACCATGACCATTTGACCAGCTTTTGGCTACTTCTCTGTTGCACATGAAAATGTTAGTGTCAGTGATTTTTACAGAGGTTTTCCTGTGTTTTTCCAACTTTTTTTTTCTTCCACAGAAGTATTTTTTAAAACCACTTCTTGTTCACCAGTAGCTATAACTCAGCCTTAAGTCTTTGCTCATTGTAGCCACCTATATTATTCAGGCCAGGTCTCAGTAACCATGTATACAGCTCAAATACCACAGGGGATTTTGGAATACAAACTTTATGAAAATTAATTCATTGTCCTTAAGGAATACACATACCTTATTCTTCCCACACACTACTGTAGAATATCACCAGTAATATTATTTCAGAATCACTCTTATCTGTGCTTCTTGAGCTGGTGAGGGTGCAGGGGAGGATCACAGAGGACTGAGAAACCTGCCATATGGGAAAAGGCTGAGAGAATTTGGTTTGTGCAGAAAAGAATCACCTTCTCACCATATTCCAATATTTAAAGGGTGGCTACAAAAAAAGATGGAGACTCCCTTTTTACTAGGAGTCACATGGAAAAGGTGAGAGGCAGTGGGTGCAAGTTCCTCCTGGGGAGATTCAGATTGGACACAAGAGGAAAATTTTTCACAGTGAGAACAATCAGCCTTTGGAATAATCTCCCTGGGGAAGTGGTGGAGTCCCCAAAATTGGACACTTTAAAGATTCATCTGGACAGGATCCTGGGCCATCTTGTATAGAACGTGCTTTTGCCAGGAGAAATGGGACCAGATGATCCTTGAAGTTCCTCCCAGCCTGGTATTCTAAGCTTGTACAGAATATCACAACTCTTTAAAAGGATAAAAAAAAAAAGATAAATATTTTCATCCTTTGCTATTCAGGTAGAGATGTGTTTCACCCTTCTTGGCTTTTCTTGAAGTTCTAGTGGTTTTTTGAATGTATTATTTCTTTGAATTTTATTTGCCTCAGTGCCTTTTCTAATGCTGAGCTTGATGATGTTTTATGGAAATTAGCATCTATCACTGATGAAAATAAAGGGAATTGTGCTAAATTGCCCTTTCTGGAAGGAGAATTCCAGACAATTACATAGGGGGTAGTTTGGGTGTCTGAAGGAGCTGAGATTTCAACTGTGCTGGCAGGACAAGTTTGCTGTTTCACCTAGGATGTAAGGGAGGAATGGAGGAAATGTCCTAATGCATGGAAACAAATGGTGACAGCAGCTTGATAAAGTGACCCCTTGGATTCATGTAGTCTTACTTAAATACAGTATTCTTCAATCCTGCATCATGGAACAGTATTCTCTGGTTTTAACTGATTTAAATATTTTTTTTTTGTATACTCCAAGTATGAAACACGAGTGGAGGAGAACAGAGTGAATGTAGAAATACTGAGAGTCTCTGTTGTTGACCTTGATGAACCTGGTTCACCCGGCTCAGGAGCAGTGTATGAAATTATAAGAGGAAATGATGATCAGTCCTTTGAAATCACAACAGACAGAAACACAAATGAAGGAATACTGTGTGTTGTAAAGGTAAGTCAAAATGGGACTGCTAGAGGAGAATTTGTGTGTTTTCAGGTGTTGCTTTTAAAACAAATAATCCAGAAATCATTTTTATTGAAAGAATGTAACTCTTTTTCATTATCTATTAAAACTGCAATAATGAGTGACTTCTAAGAGCAGAGAAGATTGTTATTCAATTTGAAGATGTAAGTTGTAAGGGAACGGGACTGCTAGAGGAGAATTTGTGTGTTTTCAGGTGTTGCTTTTAAAACAAATAATCCAGAAATCATTTTTATTGAAAGAATGTAACTCTTTTTCATTATCTATTAAAACTGCAATAATGAGTGACTTCTAAGAGCAGATTGTTATTAAATTTGAAGATGTAACTTGTAAGGGTAGAGATGCCAGTTTATTTATTTATCTTTTTTTGTTGTTGTTGCTGATACTTTTTGTAGGTTTTTCTAAAGCTATATCCCTGGTCTATGAACCCAGCTGAAATTTCTTATATATGATGTAATGCAGTGCTAGTATTAGAAATTATTATGGCTTTAGGGTATAAATAGCTCTATTAAAGGCATATGATGGAATTGGAGAAGTTGTCTGAAGAATGAATGATAGATACTGATCAACCCCACGAGTTCTGATGTATTTGCAGTGGGTAAAGTCTTACTAGGAAATAAGTGTAGGTGCTATCAAGAAGTAGGATAGACTTGTGCTGGAAAGGAAATGCACATAACCAAAAATAATGGACAGCTAGATGTGGGAGGAGGAAATCCCCCACCACATTTAGTACTTACCTCAGTTCTGTTAGTAATTGACTGTCAGAGGTTCATCTAAAATGTTACAGTGGTGCTACTCACCTTGTTATGGGTGGCTCCTCAGCTTCTTTTCTTTGAATAACTTGGAATTTAGCTTTTTTCTTTTAATCCCTTTCCTCAAGCTGGATGTTCCAGCCAGATAAATGACTTTTGTAAATAAATGTGGTGCAGTTTTATCTATTTAATAATCAGTGAAAACAATACCAAGTTGTCTATTGGTTTGAAGGGAGAAAACTCAACCCCTCTTCTTTGTCACAGGGACTGGACTATGAAAGTGCCAAGCAAAGGGTTCTCGTGATTGCAGTGAACAACGAGGCACCCTACATGCTGGCACCCCACTCCCAGCAGCTTTCCCAGAGCACCAGCTCTGTAACAGTGCACGTCCTGGATGTGGATGAGGGGCCAGTGTTCAAACCCTGCCTGCTACGCATCAACGTTAAAGAGTGCGAGGAGATTGGGACGAGTATTGGGAGGTACCTGGCAGAAGATCCAGAAAATGGAAATAGTGAAGGCATAAGGTATGAAACAGTGTTACCTGCTGGTTTATTTGCATGGGTGAGGTAGGGGAAGGGGGATGTCATTGCTGATGCTGTCTGTGTGTGTGTGTGCATGTGCATACATGAGTGTATATGAATATATGTATAAATACACATTTTTGTATGGGTGTAGTTGAGATTTTTAACTAAACAAACCAATTATTCTTGACAGGTACCGGATACCACCTGGCCAGTGTAATTGGATCAACATAGATGAAAGATCAGGTGAAGTCAGAACCATTAAAGTCTTGGACAGGGATGTGGGAGAGATGAGAAGAGGTCAATGCAACATCACAGTCCTGGCGATAGACAGAAGTGAGTACTGAAGGTTGGCAGTGTTCTTTGTGGTCTGTAAATGTGCAGATTTAATGTCAGGACAGCTGTATTGGTTCAGACCAGAGGCCTGCCTACTCCATTGTGTTGTTTTTGGGATAGCTATCAATCCTTAGGGAAAGTTATACAGCAGGGAAAGCATCAAAGAAATCAGGGCAAATTCTCAATGTTTTCAAAAGTTATCTGTTCCTATTTAAAAACCTTTGTTCACAGGAAAATCTCTCAATTTAAAGTTGATTGTATTCCTTTCATTTTCTGACTATTTTAAGTGATGGCACCTAGCAGCCATGAAGTTGACAAAAGAGAAAATAGAACTTTTTTTTTCAAAAAGTTATCCACTTTTCAGCTTTTAATGTTTCCTACTCTGACTTCTTGGGGTCTTGCTTTTGGAAACCCTTATTTTAAAGGACCACTATGAATAGATGTATTCATTGCTGTGTGTTATTGCTCTTTTATTCTCAGTCATCCAGGTTCTGTAACAGTGTTCACACTGTGTTGGTTAGGTCACAAACTCTTACAAAATATTCTGATTTCAAAGGAAGGGTTGTACACTGAGATTCTCATTCTCAAACAGGTTTTGGTTATGATTTAATGTGAGTGATATCTGTTATTTCCAATTACTTTGGGTATACACATTTATTGGAGGAAAAGACATAGTTTTAACCTCAACATTATTTACCTAAGAAGATTAAATGCACCTTTCCCTTCCAAATGCTAAATGTAGCAAATGGATTAGCAAAGAAAATTGTTAGATTTATATGTCACACTTTTAATTCTACAATATGTATCTGATGTTAAAAAGGAAAAATAGACTGCTTTAATAAATCCAATAGCAGGATTTAGTTTGAGTCCTTATGTGCTTAAAACATCAATGGGAGTAAAGGGCAGACCTTTGGAAGTTGCTTTGCAGCTAAAAAATTCTAACTGTCCAGAGATGGCATATTAATATTAAATGTAAGTAATATGAACTTGAAGTGTTTAGAACTTCTGCAGCATATAAAGTAAACATGATTTATGCATCTGCAACCAATCATCTCTAGGGAAAGTTTTAACAGTAGACTTGATGTAATTTCACTGGAATGCATATGCAAGCATTGACCATGCTTGTGTGGGAGAAATGTAATTAGGAGGGAGAGCTCATGCAGAGCTCATTCACTTCTTGAGTGTAGAATTTGGTGACATAATCTGTGCCACTGCTGAGTCCTGTCACCACATGGTGACTCAGAGGGAAGATGGCAGAGTAAAGCCCACTGTTTCTGAAAGTCTTCATGTTCCAGGGGAAGTGAGGGTAGGGAAAGTGTAATTTATTTTCTCCTTCCAGAAGCAGACCTTCACTTTCTGCTTTTGACTCTCAATTTGACTTGGGTGTTCCTTTAGCTCTGGTTTATGGGCCCTTTCTCCTCTCATCCTCCTCTTAGAGCAGTGTGTGTCCCCAGACAGATGGACACACTCAACAAAACACATTGATGGAGAGCATGGAGCTTTGGGAGCTCTTCCATCCTATAGCCAAGCAAAGAGAAGCAGCTAATAGACCTGTGAGAAGTCCCTCTGTCTTCTTGACTAAATCAACAGCTGCTTTCCACCTTAGCTCTGACCTCCCATATCACAGTCAATGCTATTGCATGGTGAAAGTTTTGACTAGAAATAAATAAGTGAACGTCAGAAGCGACCGCTGAAAGCATTAAAAGTCACTTTTATCTCACAGATGGCAAAACAGGCACTGGGACGATCCAGGTTTGCATCCAGCCTGGCAACAAGAATTACCCCAGGATCACTAAGACGGATTATATCATGTGCAGGGACCACAAACCCATCTGCCTGACTGCCCAGGACGGGGACGAGGCTCCCTACGGCACCCCCTTCACCTACCGCATCACCGACCGCAGCCTGGCCGCCTCCTGGAAGATCACCGAGCACAACGGTGTGGTCAGGCTTCCCCCCCCTACCTCTGGGCTGCCAGGGGAGGCTTCCCTCCCTCTCCCTTGGGTGGGCTGTAAGATGGGTTGGGTGAATGCTTGCGTGGAGCTGGTGTAGGCAGTGGGGGTTGGAAGGTAGCCCTGGTGATCTCTGGCGGTTCCTACGTTGCGTTTGTTGTAGAAGAGACCAAGAGTGTGCCAGAAATAAAAGGGAGCACCTAAAGTGTTCTCTGTCTTCACTATCCTGGGTTTGAAACAGTCCGTAGGAGTTGAGAAGGTGGCACTGTTAACATCATAAAGACAAGGAGGAGGATGTTTTGCCTCTTAAAGCATGAATAGGAGTCTGTCCCCAGCAGTCAGCTGCGCTCTGAAATGGTGATGTAAAAATATTAGAGAACAAAAACCAAAGTAATGGATTAAATCAAAAACTCTGGAAAAAAAGAGATTATTATATCATAATATAGAGATCTGGAAAACTGAAACTTTGCCTAAAATTGATCAGAGACTGATTAAAAGAATTCTGGCAAGTTTTCTTCTTAGGGCTGCTGTCAGCCAGCACATTTTTGGTAAAGTTGAGCTGGATGAAAGAAAACATTATATCTCCTTTAATATATTTACATGAATTTTTATCTTGATAGAAGTAAATAAACAATTTATTACCAAAAGAATCACTGTTTCCTAAAATCTGCTGATATAAAAAGATACAGCTGGTGGTGGTTTCCTGGTGGGTAGCAGATGACATGACATAATGACTATGCTGTCATGAGTGAGCCTAGTCATGAAAAGGGTCTGAATCTGAAGTGTTCCATCAAACACTCACTAATGAAAGGCAAAAGAGGGCAGAGTCTGAGATCAAAGACATCTAGGAGTTTCAAGGCTTATATTAGGCAAATTGAAAAAAAAAAACCCAAAACATTTTAGATGGTACCTGCAGTTTCATGTCCCTCATCATAAAGGAACCATTTTGTACATTGTGTTGATCTTGTCTGTATTTATTACAAATTGGTTTTTTTGCCCTTTGAAACACATGGTCACTAATCGTTGCCACTTAGGGCAGCAGACTAAATGGATTTACTTTGTAGTGGATGTAGCAATTCCCACTGAATATAGCAGTAAAGCTAAAGAATGGAAGAGGTATAAATCAAGATTACAATTATTCCAATCACACTACCAGAAATCCTCCTCATAAAAGTTAGTTCAGTTGATAGTCTTTACTAGTAAGCCCAAATAGTGTCATTTACTATAATGAACTGAATTAACTTAAGAGTTTCAGGTCATATGTTGTCAGAAGGCTCTGTATAAAGTTTTCCCTTTCCATTCTAACATTTTAAAGGTGCTGCAAATATAAATCCTCCCAAGATGTAGTTTTGTGTCAACAAACTGACGGGGAGATGATGTTCACAGTCGCCTTTGCTAAAACAGAGTCTCAGATACTGCTAACACTAAATCTGCTTTTGTCTGTTTTTTTGTTTTACAGATGATTCTGTGTATCTTGCCCCAAGGAATGATATTCCCTTTGGAATATACAGAATTCCTATACAGGTGACTGATAATGGAGGAAAGGTAGGAGAGAACTACGTGACAGTGAACGTCTGTGATTGCGTTACTCCAACCGAATGCAACGGGAGGACCCGGGAGCTTGCTGGTGGAAATGTTACCCTTGGCATTTGGGCCATCCTTGCCATGATCTTAGGGTCCCTGTTACTCTTGTGTAAGTACACTTGTGCAAACCCATTAATTTTAAAAGTCGAGTGCTAGTTTTGGGGTGCACCTTCCTACAAACAGCAATGCTGAAATCGGTTTCCTAGGGCTTTTTGACAGCCTTGTTTGTGTCATGGGTTAAAACATAGAGTAGCTGAAACATTAGATTTCACAAGGGGTAACATCTTCAAAGATCACCAGAGGATATGCTACAATAACAAAGAGTTTGGGTTGAGGGGGGTTTTTAAACTTTTCACCCAAATTGGTGATATAGGCCAGAACTGGAACTTTCAGACATAGGGGTGCTTAGTAGCAGGACTGTGTGAAATGTCAGCTAGCTTTTTGTCACTACCCCTTGACTGCTTCCCTCCCAGATAAAGCCATTATTTTGTTGTGGCTTGGGTTTACCCTGGGTATCCTCTCTAAGTGCTCTCATGGATGTCTTCTTCCTATCTGTCAGCATCGGGGTCCTGCTGGAACTGCAGATCTTGCTGACAGCTGATAGCTGCAGAAGCTGAATGAGTTTGAAAGTGGCTCTTGGCCAATTCCTACAGAAGTTTATTATGCTCAGAGATGAGATGACTCAGTGGGCAGTTAGGCAGAACAGTTCTGTTTCTTAGGGGCTGCTTTATTTTTAAGTTATCAACTTTGAAAGAGTGGTTCTTTGAATGAAAGTTCAGTCCTTTGTTTAGGAGGGGTGTTAGTTGCTGATGATTCTTTTATAAAAAGTAATTTCTAGCTGAGTCTTCATGACAACACAAAGTAGTATGATAGGAGGAGTAGGAGGAATACAAGGAGTGAAATAAGATTGTGCTGTAACATAATGCTTGAAGTCCTCCAGAGTTCTGCTGACCTGTGTCAAAACCAGAAGTTTCTGGTATTGAGACCTTTAGCTTACATATCAGTTCCTTATGATATAAGTTGACATCTGCATATTCATACATGAAAACCAAGGGCAAACTGGTTGTAGGCATAAGACATGATTCTTTTTCACCTGGATTTGGTCTAAATTTTTATTGCTGTGAAATTCTGCAGTCACTGTTTTCATAAAGGATGCCTGCATTTCTTTCAGGGAAACAAAGATGCATTTTAGAAGAATAAAGTTTAACAATATAGTGAAAACTCATGCATATACTGTTTGAAAAAAAAATGTAATATGTACAGTTTTGAGTATGAAATTGTTTTTTTAAACCATACTTGATACTTAGGCATTTAAAAAGGCTAGTGCAACAAAATCCATTATCAAACAGAAGCAGATACCATTTTGAGGTCAAACTCATAGTATTTTCCTCACTTATTCCCTTTCTGTAGTAATCCTGATCACAATTTGTGGCTGCTGTGGCTCTGGGGCAATGCAGAGGCATGTGACTGATGATTGTGCCAATCACAATCTAATAATTTCAAATACTGAAGCTCCAGGAGAAGAAGTGATGGTAAGTTGTGTGTTTATTTCAGTATAGAAACACATCATTAAGATCTAGTATTTCAGTGTGAGAACAGGAACACCTGCAAGTGAGTGACTTACTAAAGGAAATAAGCAATAAATGCTGGAATCATTACATGTGCTTTGCTATTGAACAAGAATCTGAGAATTCTTACTTTAGACAGAGTTGACAGGACCATAGATATTTAAACATATCCTCTTGTTGTTAGCCCAGCTGCTTAAAGTTCTTCCAGCCTTTAGCTGTTGGCTTGGAACTTTCAGGTGAACGTTTTAATCACTTCAGTCATTGTCAAGAATGAGATTAGATAGAAATTTACTCTTCTGCCTATGTTGCACATGTGTTTAGGGCAAAACATTATTGCTTGTACCTGGAGAAGGATTTAAATTTAGCAGATAGTCACTGTAAATTACAGGTACAATTTCTGCCCTTCCCCTGACAAATGACCCCCAAATACAGTTGATTTTTTAAGCTAGTGGAAAAAATGTAATTGAACAGTGCATTTTCATGAAATATGTTCTTGCTTTTTAAGATTCAGTCTACCATGAGCATAGTGCTGTCCAAGGCTGTGTTCATACAGAACTTAGCTCTTCAGACTCTTCCTCTTCACCTCTTTCCCCCACCCCCACTGGCTTTGCCTCCTCCAAGGAGAGGAGATTAGTTTAAAAACCATTAAGTTTACCTTAAAAACCAAGAAATCCTAACAGTGACAAGTGTCAAAGTTCT